TAAAAATTCACGGCGTTGCATATAACATTCTTGTAGACACGGACGGATTAATAATATTCAAATATTTGAGTTTTATTCGCGATCTCTCTTGGCGTTTGTCGAGAGGACGTCGACGGTAAGCATTTTTAGAGAAAAGCGGTTCCTTCACACACGAGCTGGAAGATGGCCGGCAAACCGGCGACACGTTACTGTCGGGATTTTCCGGTCTACCAAATTCTTTTGATTCGCTGACATTCAAATATTTAAGCCTGCTTCGATTCCTTGTTCACCGATCGACAAGCTGTCACGTAGCTCGGGTGTAGAAAGACTTAGAAAAGACTGTGGAAAAGCTTTCAACGATAGTATGAAGTAAAGGCACGTTCTAATTGACACGCGGATTTTTTAATCAAGAATATTCTAATATGAGCTCTAATTTCTCCGAGACATTCTCAAATCTTAGAACAGAATCAAACATGAAATTTGATTGTTATCAAATATATCAGAATATTTTGTTGGATTTCTAAAAAGACCGTGCCGTTATTCACCAAGAGAGCATATTTCATCTTTCACCTATTTATGTACAAATGAGATTAATCTTCAAGGTATTTTTAATCTAAAACTTAAAGCTTTTCTATGACGAATTTTACTCTCTCTCTTTTTCTGTTGTATTTAAAAATTAAAATGCAGTTCCTTTTGCACACTTGGAAATTATTCGGAATCGGTTAATGCTTCAGTTCTACATTGTTCTTTTGCCACGAAATTATATCCAGGACCGTTTTTGACAAAAATTGAAGTCGAAACGCTTCTCAAGCTTGTCTTTATATTTTCAGCAATCGGAGAAGCCACTCTCTGCCCACGTAAATATTGATGCATTCTGATCGTTCAACAGCGATCAGACCGTGAGTGAATGAAGTCGGCGGTGGATAGTTATTGCGATTTTCGAAAGCGTCGACTTCGATCCCGCTGCAAGTAGTAACAATCGTTGTTAGTTGCGCTCGAAACGCAGAGAGGACACAAGACGCGGCCTCCCTCCCCCTTCCGCGCCCTCCCACGGCAATTAAATTACACAGTCTGGGCTACGAAGAGAAAGCAGAAGAAGATCCTCACGCCGCGTCGCGTCGCCTGGATATTTGCTCGGCTCCATTTGCGAAATTAGAGATCTATTTGTCCGCGAGAGATGGCAATCGCTCGGAGAGCAGAGGTGACGCGGCACAATGGTGACGCGTCAATCTTTCTCCCTCTGCTTTCTCACACCCTCAAAATCCTGCCCCTCATTCTCTTTTCGTAGCTCATCCCTTCGCGTGCCTTCCTTCGAACCAACTTTCTTCCCCATCTCTTTCCATTTATATGAGAATGTCTCGGGAAGAAGCTCTAGCTGGTTACGCCGACATTGCTTGGAAATGTGAACCACTACATTTTCCTCCTGTGCATAAGATATTTTCCACGTCCAATAAAGGGACCTTACGTCCGTCAAAGTTATCCGATTAATGCTGAAAGTATCAAAACCAGTCGACGCAACCTAGCGAGCCAGTCACGTAAGCTGCTTTCCCATTTTTTTCGCTGACAGTAGAAAAAGTTTGAACACAGAAGTGGTTATTCCGTGTCCACGTGTATTGTCATTGTATCGGGAGACGATTCGGTACGCGAGAGAGAACTGTTTGCCTCTCTTTGCCTCGAGCCTCGACAGCGCTTTCGGTTCTCTTTCCGATCTCGGTTGTTCACTTAGAATAATTCGCGATTTCCGTCTATTATGCGCGCGTTATGAAAGGATACGAGGAACGGAGCGGGATTGTGGACCGGGTCAATAACCACTCCTCGTCAAATTTTTCAGCAAAGTAATTTTATTTTCTCATATCTTCTCCAACTTTTCTGCCCCTCTCTCTCTCTCTCTCTCTTTCATTCGTTCTCTCCCTCTCTCTCACTCGTTCTCTCTCTCTCTCTCTCTCTCTCTCTCTCTCTCTCTCTCTCTCTCCTACTATCTCAAGATATACACAGAACCGTCGTTTTACCATCCGCCTCGTCGAGTTCGCGACGTTATTTACAAAACACCGTGTCGACCGCCCGGCAAGGTGCGTTAACGATAATAAATAACGGTACTAATAATAATCATGATCGTAATAGTAATAATAATCGTAATAGCAATAAAGGTGACAATAATAATGGCGCTGACAATAATCACAAGTATAATGATAGTAGTTAATTTACAAATCGGAAAATCAGACTCCGCGAAAGCTCTCTCTCTGTTCCTCACGATACTTCGACGGATTTTTGTGTGTCCATCTTTTCTTTCATATATATATATATATATATATATATATATATATATATATATATATATATATATATGTGTGTGTGTGTGTATGAGTGTGTGTAATGATTCCTGCCGGCTTTTTCTCCGCGTGTGTGTATGTGTGAGTGCTCTCTATTTACAAAATTTACGCGTCTAAATCTTTAATCTATTTACAACCATGGAGTGCGCCCGGCCGCAGTGCCCGCATAACCGACAAATAAGGCCCCGCGCGCCCTCCGTTCTCACTTTTCCACGCTCCATTCCCCTCTATATATTTTCCATTTCGCTCTTGTCCCTACGTGTCGCAATCTCTCATTTTCCTTCCTTCCGCACGTCACGCATTTCTCTCGAATCCGATTTGTGAGTTTGTGAGGTTGCGCGGGCACGCGGCTCCGAAGTAACAAAATAAATACTGACTAGCCCGCTCACAGGCGTCTCCGCGTCGACGGCAGCGGCGGTGAATAAACGGATGCTCGTTATGAAACTAGAAAAGTGTGAAATCTTACGCGTGTGACTTGTACACTCAAACGATAGATTCACAATAAGTTAACGGGAGCTCCGTTTTTCCTCGCGCGTGAGTATCGTCGGGCGCGTTAAAGCGATTGTTGTAGATCGTTTCCTCCGCGAGGGACAGGTGTCGAGATGAATAATCATTGAATGCTTATTTCTGTTATCGTATGCAGTAACTTAATTATGTGTCCTTTCCTTTCTCCTACGGAAGTAAGCGTATTCGAATAACGGTATCGTGATTGCCTTTAAGTATTTTTATGCTTTTCTACCTTCTCCCTCTCTCTTTCTCTGTTGGCGACTTTCGGGTTACAAGATGCTTTTCCAGATACAACTAATACATGCCCGCCGTATAGTTTAAGTGTATGCGTCGTATAGTAAATAGTATAAGTTCGATTCGCGTTTAAATATAGTACATACAGAGTCGCCGTTTCTCTAGCTACGATTTTCCTAGAAACGTGAAAAATCTAGTCGCTACAGTCTCCTTTTAAAGCTAGTGAAAAAGCATCGTGTGATCTAAGCATCTCGAAACTTCCAGGTAGCTACGGCCTTCGCCAAAGGTCCAGATTATCTCTAATAAATCGTGTTAAGCCAAATTAGTCAGCGCTCAAAGGTGGCAAAAGCATGGCGACTGTTTGTATCGTTAATAGCCATTGTCGACAGTTTCATTGCAGATAGCCAGAGACAGTATTGGTTAGAATCCGGTATGAAGACTGAACGCGGCCTTTAGTTGGCGAACACTGAGTAGTTACGCTTATCACAATTTAGCGACGCTTTCCCGTGATTGCAGGTTGATATCATAGATATGAAATTAATACGAGAAATATACAAACGAGATAACTATACGTATTAAGTTAGTTAACGAGCCGTGCTCTCTCGCGGAGGAAACGGTAGTGTAATAACGAAGCACCGCACAGCCTCAGTGTCAATGTTAATGGAATATACCTGGGTGCTGTTGCCTCCGCCTGCTCGCCGGGACCCGGAGTGCGCTAGATAACTTACGGCGATAACCTCAGACGAAACGCAGTGCGTCCTTTCACGCCGCGCGTCACACGTCATGTCATGTCATGTCGCGTCACGTCACGTCCCGGTCGACCTGGTGCGCGATTAGTGACCGATGACGACGATGTCCACGAGATATGTCGAAATGAATATGTCCCGGTGATGGTGGTGATGATGGTGGAAGGGGAACGTGTACCCGAGAGACCCATCCGAGACTTCAGCGAGACTCGCGACTCGAGATGATGGTCCATTTCTATGCCGCGACGAGGCTCTCAGCCGACGGCCAGGACGGCGCGTGTCACGTATCTTGGACACGCAGGTAAACGTCCTCCGGCTGGCTGAGGAGGTGGTGTATCTGCTGCATGGTGCAGAGCGGACAGACCTCCTCCTCGGTGCCGTCGGCGACGAGTCTCCTGGCAGCGCCGGGCGCTCTCCTGCCGCCGTACTCGACGATGTACGAGTAGCCGTCGGAGTCGATCGAGCCGGACCGCGAGGCCGCCGGACGCAGCAGCGTTCGCTTGCCACCGGCGGCGGAATTGGCGGGGTTCTCGGAGCGACCGTACCTCGCGGATTCCAACTCCGAGTCCTTGAAGTCTATGTAGGAATAGCCCTCGGAATCGACCGAGGGCCGCCTACGGCCCGTTGGCCCACTCGACGGACTCGGCGGCGGCCGCGCGGGGGAGGTACGACGCCTCGCGGCGCGATGGGTAGGAGTGATGGGGATGCCGGAGTCGCGGGGCCTCGCGGGAACTCGCACGTCGGTCGGATAGCCGTCGGCGACCAGACTGACATCGAGGTCCTGGCAAGACGGGAATTCTCCGAGGGGATTCGCCGCCGTCGGCGACGGCGGGCTGGCTGGTGAGACTGGCAAAGGGGGTGAAGGGGGCCGCTGGCTCGTGATCAGGGCGTTCTGCGTCGCCAGCAGCAGGTGGCTGTCTCGTAGGAGGTTGCTTTCGTTTCGTAACAACGGGTTGCTCGCGCTGCCGGGCCGACTAAGTCGAGGGGACGACTGGGAAGCGATCGACAGGGGAACCCCTTGCGATTTTGCCAGGAGAGCTCGCGGCGTCCGATAGCCGCCCAGGACCGCCCGCGACGGCTTGTCCTGGACGCGCAATATCGACCTGGGGTCGCGGTAGTCGAGATAGTCGAGATGGTGCGGCTGCAGTGGTCGTTCCCTGCGTGGTAGCAGCGGTGGTTCGCATGGCGCCGGGGGATTTCGTACCTCGATCGTCGGCGCTTGGCCGCTGTGATGGCCCGCCGCCGGCAGGTGGTTGTGCAACTGAGTATGCGACATCGCGTCCGGCAAGTCCTCGTAGAGAACGGCACCCGCGGCGTTACCGCCGCCGACGCCGACGCCACCAGGATGCGACTGGCCGTCGGGTAGCATGCGACCTCGCCCGCCAACCGTCGCCGCGCCCGCTGCACTCTTGCACGGCAGCAGGTTTTGCACTTTCCGCTTGTGCCTGCAACAGAGAAGGACACTGTCAATTTCGTGGCTCCGACGTGGAGATTCTTAGGGATGTGCCTACGAGGCGATACGTTCAAGGATATCTTAGCTTTTAGTTTCCCGAGGACGGGAAAACTTATGAAATTCATCAAATTCGCCCTGTGATAGATTGGCGCAGAAGCTTGAGCCGAAATTATAGTCCTACTTTCGATCTGAGTCTTCTAACATCTGTATATCCTAAAGATTAGTTTATGTTTGATATCCTAGATTAGTTTATGTTTGATATACAAACTGAAGTTTTACTTAGAGACTCTGAATAGCAGAAAATGCACAGAATGCCGCTTGCATCCAGGTTCGGAAGAGGACCCCTCGGCAGAGTTAATAGGTTAAATAAGATCACAAGAGCTTGGATCACAGGTTACAGAATATAAAATAGACGTTGAATGTAATATTAAGGTTGACAGTGGGATCAACATTTTGACTAGGCAGGTTTATTGTTTTTCTATCAACTACTATTTTCAATAAAGCTATTGATTTCTATTTGGAAAGGCAAAATGAAGATGAGGAATATCAGGAATGTCAAGAGAGACAGTCGAATAATAAATGATTATATAAATGATTTCCAATATCCGTTTTCTAAAAATATTCATAGAGTCTGGAACTGTTCTAGAGCCATTGAAACGTCAACATAAAAAAGAACAGCTATAACTGAACATTCGTTCAGTTCAAGGTAGAACAATACTCGAGTCGAAATTTAGAATCTGCGAAGTCTCGAAAGTGCCGACATTTTGTTAGACAGATAGAAGTCTGTTGTTTCGCTTTAGCTACTTTAATCATTTTGATTTCTTGAGACTCTTTATTGCTCGACATTTTTTTAGACATTTATAACATTTTGTTTTAAATGTAATGTAACGTTCTGTTAAAAAAGTATCAATAAATAATCGTAATTAAAATATTCAATATTAAGGACTTTCAAGGAGGTCATAAATATATCTTTGTGTCTCGTGGAGTTTTCTAGATATTTACGATCAATTCTGAACCAGCATTATCTACTGCTTTTCTCAAGTGATTAAGTTATTTTGTCGGTTTTTTGAGGTACTTTACTAGTTTCTAAATTTCGATTAGAAATAGCTTGGATAACCTGTATTTATATTTCAAGATTTCTATTGATCCTTCGAATTTAACGGAATCTGCTGGATTCTGTCCAAAGCAAAAATTCGATTTGAATATATAATTCCATCATATTACCATCAAGTAATAATTTAACTGAAAATTCTCTCTATTTTCACTCGTGGAATGCACAGATAAATGTACTAAACTAATGTTTCGTTTATCATCGCAGTAATATCGCTGAATAAATCAAAGTTTGTTTTTCTGTACTGTTTTTCACACAGTTGACGAAATATACAAGAGATTCACGATGCATACTTAACTAACTAAATCGGAGCGTCTGCATAATATTTTCTTGTTACCGAGGGATAATCATACATTATACATCATAGTTATACATTACTCAAATTATAAGGTATTTTGGCAGGTTATTCCAAACTACCGATAAAAATTTAAATTAACAACTTGCTTAAAGGATTTGCCATTTTGAAACGTTTTATCGAACAATAGGTCGATTCGTTAAAGATGCTTCTGGTGCTGATAAAAAAAGGAAAAAATAAAGGCAAAAAGCAATCTCGCGATTTTCATTTGTTCCATCGATAGGTGCGATATACGACATTCGCAGACTCGCGGAAAGTTAAATTCGGTCAGTCGATATGGTTCTATACGTCACTGCTGGTTTCATTCGGAATACCATCTTGGAAAGCTCACAGTGAATTCCTCAAGTTGGACGAGCGGAGGATGTTGATATTCTACTTTGCTCTCCTCCTCCTCCTTCTCTATCTCTTCCTCTTCCTTTTCCTACCCCTGCTGCCGACCAGCCCCCGTCGACACACCAGATTAGTTGAGAGCTCGTTGCAATTGTTTGTACAGGCAGGCGCTTTGCTGTGGGCGCGCTCGAGAGCTTTCCTCGGTGTAAACTTTAATGAATCGGGCACTGCGTTTGCCTATCAGCGTCGTTTTATGTGTATACTGGGTGTCCCAGAGCCGCCGCGTTTCCTTTCATGTTTTGCATTCTTCGTTCGACGCAGAGTCGGCTTTCGAGAAGTTTGTCGAAACTATCGATACATCACGGGATCAATGATTGAGTGTGAAACGAATGATAGATAAGTCACTGAAAGCCACGAACAATTGGCTTAAATTCAGTGATGTGAAGCGAAGAACAATATCCGTGGTCCAGTTTGAAGCATATCTTATCGCAGTAAAAGTTTACTTTACTAGAAATTCGGTTTCCTCTATATTCAATGACAAATAACAAGTACGCAGTAATTTTTAGACACCCAATATAGTAACGACTCCTTGCTGCATTCATCATCTCCTACGCGAATTAACATACGCTCGACGAACATCGCATAATAACGCGGTCGTGATTGCTGCTTGGCCCGTATCTGTTAGATTGTCTAACTATATATGTCTTTAACATACATAAATCGGGCTGTATTCTCACCTTTAATTAGCGTTGTATGTTGTGTGAAACGCGAACAACTAAATTCTGAGTTGCATTGATTTAATACCAAGATCGCGTTCAGCGCGAAATGAAAGACGGACACTTATTACCCAAACTGCAGTAGAATATTCCGGATAATTGCGTTTTTCAATGCATACGTACATACACACGGATTTATTTCGTAAATAATGGTCTTAATTTGAAAATTTTAAAAACACGGAGAGAACACTAAAGATACATCATTCACTTAAATAATGATTGCCACATTATCACAAAATTGCCAAATATTAATATTATTTATATGCATACAAGACGGTTGTAGCGACTATAGTTTTTTGGAATTAGTATATTGGGTTTCATTCTGCCTATGCTGCATGCGTATTTGAGCGGTATTCTCAGTGATATATAGCGTGATTAAACTCTACAGACCTCTCAACCGTAGTATTTGTTCTGTAGACCGCAACAGAGAGACGGCAATATTCCTTCGGTTGAGGAGCAACTACAAATCTGAGAATGTACTAATTAGACCTTACGTATCACAAGAACTGTAACTGTGAGAACTGTATGTAAGTGTGGGCATATGACAACAGTAACTTTTGATGCTATAATCTATATAACTTAAAATATCGTATAAATTTTCTCTCTGACTATAGAATATGTAGATGTAGCAACTGCAGCAGCTTTTTTCCCGTAGAACGGACAATTTATCTCATCTTCAAAAAATATTTTGGTATTTGTAATAAAGAACACACGAGAAAACACGAAAAAGAGAGAGTGGATTCGAACGGTTCGTCGAGAACCGTTGTCGGAAAAGTTTGGCGCGGTGCAACTCGCGGTAGTACACGCACGTTTTTGATCTGTCCATCACAGTCACAGTCGTCTGTCTACATGGCGTCCACTAATCACGGGTCGCAGGCTAAAGCGTTTAAACTCGGCTGCTCCGACTGAGGGGATTCACTTATCCGAGAGGATTCGCGGTATAAACGCCAGCTGACGAGGGTCGCGAGCTCTGCCGGCCGGAGATAATGACGCTGGAAACATACGGCCTTGATCTCCGCCGTTGTAGTTTCCTTCTTTTTAAAGGGATTTCTTCGTCAACGGTGATGTCGACGTCGTTGACGCCACATAGTCATAAATCACGAGACAAAGAGAGAGAGAAAGAGGGGAGAGAAAGAGAAAGAGGAAGAGACAGAAGAGATAAGAAGCGTCATTGAGTAAAAATTTGCAGATCGAAAAATCGTAAAATTCTCACACTCGTCTTGAAAAGATTTGTCGAGCCTAGTAGGTGCGACATTCATGAGAATTTTGCGAAGACTAACGTAGATTTTAAACAATTTTTCGCGCGCATATACTTTCGCATATACCCAATCTGAAACTGAACATTAAACGCGGTGGGAACCTTTGGTTTGCAGCGTTCTATCGCGCTCCCCGCCGTCTTAAATCTTTCAACGTCTCGCCACCGACGGTATCTGCATGTACACGTTCATGTATATTCAAAGACCGGTGTGCCAGTGAGGCAAAGTAGTTTACCCTTCAAGTTTTAATTATCTAATTAACTCCTTCAGTTCGATAATATTTGCCCGTGTAATTAAACCGCAAACTAAGGTTAACAACTCGCGGTGCTATTTTCAGCAGTAGGTCGAGATGGAGCTGGGAAAACGAAGAGATCGACGTATTCTAAATGAGAAGTGCTGGCGCAGGGAGGAGGGGGCGCGAGGACGCGGCGGCGTGGTGAGAAAGAGTTGAGGGTTATCGTGCGGTTAGTACAGGAGAGAAGAACACGGTGTGAGAGTACGGACTGATCGATCACTGAATACGTTTTGTGATATCGTATGGAGCTTTCGTTTCATGTAGAAGCATCATACAAGCAAAGATAGTAAGTGATCTAAGTGTGTATCAACTCATACTACAAGTTGCTAGGTAATTTTCCTAATTGGATCGAAATAATTGGTAAAAGGGACCCTGAGTCAAAATTTTAGTTCTACTTTGGACTTGAACTTTCTAACATCTATATTTTCTGAAGCATCAGTGTATGCGTAATAATTACGTAGAAATTGAAATTTTACTTAGCACTTATATAGCAGAAAACATACAAAATGCCACTTGTAGTTTTTGAAAAGGACCTTTAGTCAAAGCTAGTAGGTTAAGTAGAATCAAAATAGATTGATGTAAGCTTCAGAGCATCGAAATAGACGTTAAATAGAATATTGAAGTTAAAATAGAATAAAAAAATTCGATTCGAGACACGTCTTCACGACTGACTTTGAATATTCTGCGACAAATTTACGCTCTGCTTGGTTGTGGCGGAACCTCACCCCGCATTTCCATCCCCATCGGAGCAGTGATGTCGCGTTCTCGCCCATCAATTATTTCCCCTACGGTTTGGCATAGTCATCGTAATGATTTTTCATTACACTCGCTCGCGACTGTCCGTCTCGCCCCGTTCTTCCATTTCCTAA